GTGTGTGTGTGTGTGTGTGTGTGTGTGTGTGTGTATATGTGTGTGTGTGTGTGCCTCCCTTTGGGTACGTTCTCAATTATAAAACTGGTATAAAAATAAAGTGAACAAAGTTTTTTTTAAATCTAAAAATGCAGAAAGTTTCCTGTAAGCGGCAGGTTTAGGGGTAGGGTAGTGATAGAATATAGCGTTTGTACAGTATAAAAAACATTACGCCTATGGAATGTCCCCATTTAGATAGCTAAGTAAACGTGTTTGTGTGTGTGTGTGTGTGCGTGCGTTTGTATGTGTGTGTGTGTGCGTGTGTGTGTGTTTGTGTGTGTGTGTGTGTGTGTGTGTGTGTGTGTGTGTATTTGCAGCATTATTGTGGTTCAGGTTAGATGAGGGATCAGATGAAAGGTCTCTGTCAGGCTCAGACTCCACTGCTGGTTCATAACTAGTTCAAGCATGAACCAAACAAGTCACTTGTTTAATGGAATGTAAAACACACTCACGCTGTTCTAAGTGGAGGCGTTTAGAGAGTTTAACGCTTGTCTAGAGGACGAGGCTTGTGTTTCTCAGACGGACAGAGAGCGTGTGTGTTTTCACTGTGTATCTGTGCTGTCAGTCAGTCAGTCAGCGGCTCGGAGAGAGTTATACAGTGTTTGCTACTGCAGGGGTTCCCAAACTGGGGTTTGTGTGTTGATGGAAAGCTAATAATTATTTAAATCATCATAAAAATGAATTAATACTTTTAAAATGAATGAATGAATAATGAATATCAATGAAGAAAAGGTGTATTTGTTGTCTGAACGTATAATAAATTTGAATAAAAATCTGCAAGGAATATACAATATATAAAAAAGTAATATTACGAAATCATTATAGGTTATTCCATTGACATTTGCATTTAACCTAAATGTAGGCTACTGTAAGATTGGAAATTTATTTTCTTGCCGCTGAATTACATTTTGAAATATATTATACTGTATATATATATACAGTGGGGAAAAAAAGTATTTAGTCAGCCACCAATTGTGCAAGTTCTCCCACTTAAAAAGATGAGAGAGGCCTGTAATTTTCATCATAGGTATACCTCAACTATGAGAGAACAAATTAGAAAATGAGTCCCTGGCGGCGCAGTGTGTTACTGATGGTAGCCTTTGTTACTTTGGTCCCAGCTCTCTGCAGGTCATTCACTAGGTCCCTCCGTGTGGTTCTGGGATTTTTGCTCACAGTTCTTGTGATCATTTTGACCCCATGGGGTGAGATCTTGCGTGGAGCCCCAGATCGAGGGAGATTATCAGTGGTCTTGTATGTCTTCCATTTTCTAATAATTGCTCCCACAGTTGATTTCTTCACACCAAGCTGCTTACCTATTGCAGATTCAGTCTTCCCAGTCTGGTGCAGGTCTACAATTTTGTTTCTGGTGTCCTTTGACAGCTCTTTGGTCTTGGCCATGGTGGAGTTTGGAGTGTGACTGTTTGAGGTTGTGGACAGGTGTCTTTTATACTGATAACGAGTTCAAACAGATGCCATTAATACAGGTAACGAGTGGAGGACAGAGGAGCCTCTTAAAGAAGAAGTTACAGGTCTGTGAGAGCCAGAAATCTTGCTTGTTTGTAGGTGACCAAATACTTATTTTACAGAGGAATTTACCAATTAATTCTTTAAAAATCCTACAATGTGATTTTCTGGATTTTTTTTTCTCATTTTGTCTCTCATAGTTGAGGTATACCTATGATGAAAATTACAGGCCTCTCTCATCTTTTTAAGTGGGAGAACTTGCACAATTGGTGGCTGACTAAATACTTTTTTGCCCCACTGTAGGTACATAAAGTTTGATACTAAATATATTTTCATTTCCAAAAATATATATAATTGAGCTTTACTGTTTTCAACATACATTTAGCATATATTTAAAATATATTTTGTCGAGAAAATATGTATTTTTTGCCATATGGGTCAGCATTTTTGTATGTAAAACAAAAACACTTGAATGGATGACAAACGCTACCTTGAAGCTTTTGAGAATAAGTGATTATGCAAATGATTTACTGAATTAAAGTTCTGCATTGATTCATTGAGATTAATCTAATTGTGCTAATTATCCTGCATATTTTCTTTGCACTGAATTTCTTCCATGTTTGTTTTGTTGTTTTGGGAATCTCGGTGGAGAAAATGAATGAGTTTTTAGTCTCCATTGAGCTCTGTGGTTCATTCAAACTGAGATTTAAACCTGCACCCTTGTGGTTACCAGCACAGATCGTTAACTACCTCTAATAATGACTTGATCATGCTGTTGACTGTAGAAACCTGTATATAATTAAAGATAAACTCTAATTCAGTGTGGGGATCTAACACACACACAAACACACACACACACACACACA